AAATGTGAAATGGGGATCTATATTAAATAGAAATTTCAAGGAGTGTCAGTATAATTTACCCTTATAATATTGACAAAATTTGGCAAAGTTCTCTCTACTTCTCTCATTATAGAATCTACAAATATTATTTTTGCATCACATTGTGTGACAAAAAATAGGAAATAATATTTACACTATTGAATTAGAATTGCCCCCATTATAATAGTTTTGTATTGTTTGTCGGAATTTAGACATTTATTATAGTTTTGGAGAGCTATTAGATGACTTGTTGAGATCCCTTCTCATTGTATATTATGGGTTAATTATATATATATATATATATATATACATATATACATAAAATTTTAATTATTAATGAATATTATTTTATCATTTTTATTTATAAACTTGTATATTTTGACTATATCAACCGTAAAAATTGTATAAACGATATTCGAAAGTGGTTTTTTTATACAATTTTTATAATTAAAGAAAGTCAATATTTATAATATCATAAATAAAAAAATAAAATGTGCCGTTTTGGGAAGCTTGGCAAAACGCCACGTTTTTTATCCATGAGAAAAAAAAGTTTCCGGCCAAAAACGCCACTTTATTCATTTGGAAAATAAAAAAACGCAACACTTGAAATTACAAATTGGGCCTTTGAGAAAAAAGTGAAAAAGTAAAAATTAAATGTTAGGTAAAGATATTTTGATCATTTTAATTTGATTTGATATCATAAACAAATATTAAATCAAAAAGTTAAAAGCCAATTTTTTACTAACTTTTCAAAAAATTAAAAAATTTAATAAAAAATCAAAAATTAACTTTTTATTAACTTTTCAAAACACTCCAATGATATCTACTAATAATTAGGGAGTGTTGGTGTAATTGATATCCATGAATGTGTGTGAATGCCACAGGGATGGGATTCAAAGGTAGTGCTGGACCCTTGGCTCGTGGACAATGTGTACTATTGTCCACTAATATGCAAAAAAAAAAAAATAAAAATAAAAATAAAAATAAAAAAAAATAAAAAATCTCACTTTGCCCTTTCACTAAATACTCAAAACTTTTATTAATAATCAATATATGATTTTAATTCATTCTATATGTGGACAATATAATATATCATTTCAATTTCAACCACTCTTTTACAGTTTGAATAAGTTTCTAAATAAAAATTCTGGATAACAAGTTTTACCGTTTTCTCAAGTTAAAATATTTCGGAAAACTTTTGTAATCAAGTTTTACTCTTAACAATCACATCATAATCAACATCATATGTGGTTATAATTAAAAATTTAAAAAATTATAACTAAACATATTGTACATCTCACAGTTTTATTATGTCATTTTTACATGAGAGAAAGAAATTTCAATCGCAAATTAGTCAGGTGAAAAAAAAGAAAAATTACTAATCGATAATATTTTCATAAAATATTTATAAATTCATGATAAAATTTATCACTTTAATGGTTAAAGTTGATAAAACATATCATTAATTTAAAATTATTTTTAAAAATTGTAATTAAGAAAAAAAAAAGTTATTATGATGTTGACGTTAAAGTGTTTTTGATTCTCTTCTTTTTAGATTTCATCATTCACACAAATGGAGCCATGACTTTGTCGGTCGACCCCTCTTCTCAATTTGATCTTGTTCCATTATTTGTGAAATTTTATTTTATTTTATTTTATTTTATCACTTTTAATATTAAATGATTTGAGTGATTTTTGTCTCACCACAAATCCAAGATTGAAATTTAGATTAAAGGACCTCATACAAGTTTTCATTGTCTAAATGGACTAATAAAAAAGAGAGCCAACTCAATTTAATTTTCAATGAATCAAATTTGAATTTTTCCCTCATAGCAATTTTTGTGTGCAAAGAGAGTAGGTGTCATGTGGTACCTTCCTCTTCTCTCATTGATTGAGAGAGTGGGGGTTACATTTATGCGTTAGTGATGGAAAGACAACATGGGAGGCCATGGTGTTAGTGATTAGTTAAAGGCATCATGTGATCAATCTCATGCTACACTTAAATTACAGTCATAAATAATTTTAATTTATATACTTGTAAATTGGTTAATTATTTAACCAATAATGTCACACCCTTTTAATTTATTATCCCTAAATTACTCTTAATGATGTGGCATTGAGATTAAATCCCATATGATGGAATGTTTAACAAATTAAAATTTTAACACTTATCAAACATATTATTAGAGATAATTTTTAGAAGTGATAAATTAAATGTCTCTACCATTTCTCTTATTTAACTCATAGTTTGTAATTCTAAATTACAAGGTCAATCCCACGCTACCATTATGTCCTCTTGAAATTCGTGGCTACACTTAAATTAGGAGTGTGTGTGATGCGGGTCGGTGCGATTTAAAGGTAAAATATAAATCGTACAGCGAGTGGCAGATTAATAAAATTGTTTTTAGAAATTATCATTTTTCTTATAAAAAATCAACGGTTTGGTTGGCAAATAATGGCGCATTTGCCTTGGTGGTTCGGGCGGATTGGCGGTTTATAAAAAATATAAATTACAAAACTTGACTTAAAGATAAAAAAATCTAATTTTATTACAAGAGGGTTTCCACCATCAAAGTAATCATTACTTGTATTTTTCTCATCCATTATCTATTATAAAATACAAATTTATAATGATGATAAGTAAAAATATTTTAAGTATTTCCAATTGAGAAAGCATGTAACAGCATTGTTGAATGATATAGTCTGATACAAGAAAATGGTGGGAAAAAATCCAAAAATTCATACAGGAAGTGAAAAAATTAAGATAGTTTTCGAAACAGTTTTGAGATAGCTATAGTTCATGTATGCTTCCTCCTCCGCCTCTCTACTAGCACTTCTTGAAAGGTTTAAAGTTGCATACCATAACCACCTTATCACAAATTGATATAATTTTACAACAAAATTAGTAACATTAATCACAAATTAACGTAATAAAATGGCCAAAATTTTGTAGTTGATGTTATAAAGGTTTGTGGCTTGGTTAGGATAATTTTTTTGTTATGTCAATTTGTGTCGAAATTACATATTTTATGATTAATTTATGATAAGATACATATAGTGTCCACCCCTTAAAGTTTTTCTATAATTCGTGCTCATTTGCGTGTTAAATACAAAATAAAGTGAAAGCTTGATCATAATCTCTTTCACTTTTTTGGGTGTATTCAATACAAAATAACGTGCTGCACTTTTTTTCTTCTTTGGATTTGAAATAAAACTCAGACAACAAAATAGGGTGATTCACCAAAACTCAAATTTGAAAAATAGTTTCATCAATTGCTTTCATTAAAGAACAAAAAGAGAAGGGATTAGTACGTACCATCGATTGCCGCCGAAACTAGTTTCTAGACACGAGTCATCGTACCGTCAAAATAGTCTTGCTTGCTGTCAATCTTGCCGCCGAAAAGAGAGAACCGTTGTCAAAGAGTCTACAGTGAGAGAAGATGGCCTATGTTATATTTTTGGTACCAAAATCCCCTAGGTTTCTTGAAAGTGTAAATTACACTTTTCGCTCATGTGAGAGAAGAAAAATAGTAGAGAAGAAAAATGACGATGACAATTTATCAGAAAAATAAAATAAAATTGAGAATAACTACGTCACGTTGAAGCCGATGATATGTTAACGTTGTATTGAAAGCACACGCCAATCAACCAATGTAGCGCCAACACATCTGGAGCTACCCATGGTTGGCTTCAACTTTGACAAATTTTGTCAATATTATAAGGGTAAATTAGAATGACACTTCTTGAGATTTCTGTTTAATACAAATTTTTCATTCACATTTAAAAAATTATATTTTTCTCTTTGAGGTTTGTAACTTAGATTGTTGATGTTATATTTTAAAATTTTTTAAATGACCATCTTACCATTTTCTTATAATTTCTTATTTCTATTACCACGACTACATCTTATAACTTTTCATCATTAAATTCTACATGAACATATTCATATCGTGCGATGGTATATAAACATAAATTTTATATAAAATTTTCAAATACAATGATATAACTTAATGGTAACCTTTCACTTTAAAACAAAACACCCATAAACATGGTTTATATTCACAACAATATAACTATCACAGTATGTTTATGATATTTTTTTTGTATAAATTTTTATATATGAATATAATTTTTCATTTTTATTTCCACCATTATATATAGATTAGATCAATTTAATCTAGATATATTTAAAAAGTATAAAATTTGTACAAAAAATTTAAAAAAAAATTATTGAATACAACAAAATAAGATAATGTATCGAATTTTTGTATTTTTGTATTTTTTTATATTTGGTGAATTTAAAAAAAATCACAAAATATTATACTTCTTAAGTATAACTAAATTAGGTGTATCTAAAAAATAAAAAATAAAAATTGCTTAAAAGTTTTAAAAAATTCAGTAAAAATAAAATAAAATAAAAACACCAAAAAAAAATAAAAATTGTGTGAGTTAAAACCAAAGAAGATAGATTGTTATTTTTCTTGAAATGACATGAATAAAATATCTGTATTATTTTATTATTTTATATGTATAAAGGCTAAGGGACAAATATGTCATTTTAATATGACATGGAATAAGTGCAATTTTTCAAATGTGAGGAGAAATTTGTATTAAAAAAAATCTCAGGGAGTGTCAGTTTAATTTACCCATATTATAATTAGGTAAGAGAAATAACAGACCATTAAAGATAATTTTTAAAGATGTCTTATTGTATATTTAGATTTTGACAGTTACTTTAGTGCATTACTTAAAATGCTTTAAATGAGCCAAAGTTAAAGCCGATGATGCGTTGGCGCTACATTGGTTGATCGGTGTGTGGTCCCAATACAACACTAACATAGCATCGGTTTCAACGTGGCGTAATCATTCTCTATTTTATTTTATTTTTGGATAAATAGTCATTTTTCTTCTCACCTATTCTTTTTCAATCCATGTGGTTCCCCTCATTTTCTTGCATCACCCTCTTGTTAATTCAGTTGCAAATGGAGGACAAGCACAAGGAGCACAAATACACCCTAGACCAATACCTGTCAAAAGCCGAGCACTACATATGCTCATGCTTCAACAAAAACAACGGCACCAACAACATTGATCGTACCCCGGGAGGCCTTTTATTCATTCGGCAATGGAACAACATGCAATATGTATCCTCGGCCACATTCCTTCTCATCGTATACTCGGACTTCCTCAAAAGCTTGAACCAGAAGCTCAACTGCCATGGAGTAGTTAGCCCAGAAGAGCTCTTCAACCTAGCCAAAGCTCAAGTGGACTACATTTTGGGGTCCAACCCCATGAACATGAGCTACCTAGTTGGATATGGTACTAAATACCCCACAAGGATGCACCACAGGGGTGCATCGATTGTGCTCTACAGAGAGAACAAAGGATTCATTGGGTGCACCCAAGGGTATGACAATTGGTACAGTAGAGAGGAACCAAACCCGAATGTTGTTGTTAGAGCATTAGTTGGAGGTTTTGATTGTCAAGACAATTTCAGTGATCAAAGAGGGAACTACATGCAAACTGAGGCTTGCACTTACAATACAGCACCATTGGTTGGGGTTTTTGCAAAGTTGAATCAATTGGGTGATAAACAAGAGATTCCAAATCTGAATTTGATTGCTTCCTTTTAGATATATATCTAGGTCAGTCTATTTTGCAAGAAAATAATTGTTTTGTTGTGAGTATTTGTGTTTTTTTTTTCTTTCGGTGGGTGAGTTTTATCAGTTGTAACCCATTTTGTACCTCTTCATTTATGTGTACATAATTAGCATATATAGTAAGGAAGGTGATTTCTCTTTTGTTATTAAGCTTGTGTTGTGCCTTTCAATCATCGTTAGAAACCTTAAATGGTGACTGACGCCCAAAGCAATCATCACTTCCCTGCTCATTCTACAGTCCTTAAGCCTCCAAGCTACATTGGTTTCAAGCTCATTTCTCTTTACATCTCTATATACCCTCCTAGTAGAATTCAACAAGCCTCCTATTTTTATAGGTGAACTCTACAAAATTGTAGTTCCCAATTGCATATTAGTTATTTATAAATGAACCAGAGGACAAATGGTTAAACGTCAACATTCTATGGATTTAAAACCATGAAACCAATCAATCTTACATAGAATTTGGTATGTGTACCGGGTGGCGGTATATGTGCCTAAGCGTCCAATTCATCTAATCTCTTGTCCAAGGACACAAGCACATGGTAAAATATTTATATTTCTTCATAGGTACCATAGAACATTGTAGGTTTTATAAATAGTTTTATGGTTAACTTGAATGACTAAAAATGCTTGCCAGGCCAACTACACATTTTGAACACATCTCATAGCCTTACTCCTGTCAACTGTCTGACATGTGTACTTAATACATTTAGAAGAGTTCATGCAACATAAATAACATAAATATGCATGTGTTTACACTCCACAAAAGTGAATATCAAGACAATTGATCTGGCTCAAGATAAATATGCATCTGTGTATACTCCACAAAAGCGAATATCAAGACAATCGATTTGGCTCTTATGTGAAGATTCAGAATTCAGAATATCTAATGCCATATGGGTTGCATACCATCATCTAATTTGTTACTGCTATGGCTGCCAAAACTACAGTACATATAAATTTCGAAAAGAGTTTCTGCCTTCACATTATGCATAAACTCCAAAATTTTACACCCAAAATGACATTCTAGCCATGGACTTGAACAACAATCAAATAAAAGTGCTTAGATGGGAAAATGATCTGGATTTCTTACACCACCTTCCTGCATCAGCTCCACACGTGACGCTGTTCATGATCAGATATAAAATTCTGAAAGAAGGAACAAGAAAAAGAAAAAATTGGAAAAGTTGCCCAAAGACAGAACTTGTATGGAAACTACACACATATATGACGAAGCATGTACCAGGAATTCAAAAACACACAATTCAAAATTTGGCAGACACAACTGCACTATAAGCTAGCTACGTATTGACATGAACTAGGAAATGTAACCATACAAAACAATGGTCCAGAATCTATTCAATGATTCATCATGGTGTTTTTAAATAAATAACCCAAAGGCCACTCAATATTTATAAACAAGCCAATCAACTGCCGCTCACCATAGAATGATAAAGGGTACCAATAGATGTCATTGGTTGGAAAGACACCCTGGTTAGTTGTGATTTTTCAACCATCAGTTTTAAATTGGATGTCATAATCAAAGGGCATGTTATAGTTGGTTTCTACTAGCCTCTAAATAGTTGGTTTTATTTGGAATAGAACTCTATCGACATGAAGTCAACCAAAAGCAACAGTACAAATGCAATTATCCAAGGCGTGATATTAAACATAACCATTTCTTTATTGAACAAAGGAATAATTTAAGTAGGAAAATCATCAGATCACTAGTCCCACTGTCTCATTTCATTTGAATAAAAAGATTGCTGAATCTTCCAAGTTTTGGATCCCCCTCACAAATCTTGTAATCATATAGACACAATTGTACATCAAACATGAACTTTTTAATGGCAAATAACTGTCTGTAATACTCCCACAACCACCAACATTTGGGTCAATAAACACCGCATACAAGACAAGCCAGAGTACTTGGAATTTAGAAACAGTTCACTGTACTGAACATCCTTCTTAAAAGTTGAATACTGTGGTGACCGTCTATTTTAACAGCCCATATAGAAGACATGGGAACTAACCTCCAAAGAATAGGTCACTGAGAAGAATCACTTGCAGCGGCAGGGACGTGGCTCACAACAAATGGTGGACGTAGAGCTTGGTGGTTTGCATCCTTCTGTTTTCGGGCTTTATACATCTCCTCAGTCTCAATCACAACCAATCTCTTAACCTAAGTGAATGTTTAAAAAAAACAGCATTTAGTAATGAAAAACATAAAATATATTCATTTTATTTTATTTTTTTTAAAAAAATGCATTCATTGCAAGCTTTGCTAATACCTGCTGAAGCATTCCTCTGACAGTAGGAGTGTTCCATCTCATGACAGTTCGATTACATTTGCGAAGGCGCAATGCCTCTAATGTTCGCCTGTGAAGTCGCCTGGTTCCCGGAATGCCCCTCACCAAGGTTATGTACAAGTTGGGGCTCCATGCAATAGGGACACATGCTTTGTAGGCCTTGAATGCATTCATTTCTTCTCTTATGTTTCACCTGCACTTCCCAGTAAAACATTTAAGCATAAGAGTTACAAGAATAGTACTGAACCCCACACACCAAAAAAATAATAATCTTGACCTATGTTACATGGACTCGGGTATGGGTGTCGGTATGTATCAAGAGGTTGGACTCATAAAATTATAAATTTAAGGGTACGCAGACTCGGCAAAAAAAGGTCAAATTTTTATAAATTAATGAAGTATGTGAGATAAAATAGTGTTATATGTAACTTACAGTGTCAAAAAGACATTTATAGCAATTATGCAACAATATGTACATATAATAATAGTGTTATATACAATTATATAAGAAGTATCCGTTGAAAAGTATCCGACACATATTCCATACCCTTATCCGAGTGTCGCGTGTCCGACACGGGTATTTGATTTATTTTGAAGAGTCCGTGTAATATATAGATCTTGACCATTGATTATCTAGGCTACTTTGACAATCTTTACTTCACTCCGCTGAAGTACCTCAAACTGAAGAACCTCAAACTTTTGAACTTAAAATAAATCAACACTAGCAGGCTAGCAACAAATTCAACTAATATGAATTTTCTATAAAATGATGTTAAGCCTTCATTTATAATTACCAGAAGTCATACTGTAGAAAAAGAACATGACGAGATATTTTTAAAAAGGATTGTAACATATTGTTGGATTGGGCTCAACGGACATGGGCCTGACCGGAAAGGACTCCACACAGTAGATGGGCTTCATTAGTGAAAATGAAAAAATATATGAAAAACTCTCTGCACAATTGTTACTCTTGTACTGGTTCCCAAAAACATCTAGCTGCCATTGTCATTGGATACAAGCTCTGTTGCTGGCTGAGATTCGAGGTCAGCTTTCTCATTAATCTGCAAATGCTCTATTTCTTCTTCTTTTTTTTTTCTTTTTTTTTTTTTGATAAATACAAGTACTCCATTTTTTTTCTCATTTCTCAATTGTTTTGCTTAATTTAGTTGTTGAGATGTGACATACATTTAAATATATGATTTGCATCTAGTTTAATTATACAAGCCTGCGTTTTGATGAAATTATTTTTCAAATCTGGGTTTTGGTGAATCACCCTGTTTTGTTGTCTGAGTTTTAATTTGAATTCAAAGAGGAAAAAAAGAACATCACGTTGTTTTGTATTGAACACACAAACACACAAAAAAAAAACAAAAAAACAAAAACAAAAGACATTATGATCAAGCTTTCCCTTTGTTTTGTATTCAACACACAAATGAGCATAAACTGTAGGAAAACTCTATGGTGTGCACCCCCTTAGAGTTTTGTTACTGGGGTGAAACATTGAAATTTTTCTTGTAATTTCTTCAGCATATTTTTTTGAGAGTAAACAACATAGAACTAGCAAAATGTGTTTGTAACCCATAAATACTAAGCCCTTTTAGAGAAAATCACTTGAGTTTAGGCCTCTTAAAGTTGAGGTTAGGTAAGTGTGCGTGCTGTACTTAAGATTGTAATTAAAAAGTAACTATAAATTGGGACTTGGACTGGTGGAGGAGGGTTTCCACCACCATCAAAGCAATCATCACTTGTATTTCCCTCGTCCATTATCTAGTATAAAATACAAACTTACAATGATGATAAGTAGGGGGGGAAAAAAATGAAGAACATATAAATAAAGAAAAGTTTCTAGCTGATTGATCTAGGTAGGAAGATTAAGTTCAAAACACTCACACAGGCATCAAATTACATAAAAATATAGGATAGCATTACATTACATAAAAATATATATATATTTATAGAAAGAAAGTATATGGAGAGAGAATTGAGGAGAATGTAATGTAAAATACCCAAGTATGATGATGACAGAGAAAGAGAACAGAAGTCAAAGAGAGTACTTGATTCTGAGAGTATTTTTTTCTCTCTTTCTTTGTTTCGGCAAAATGGTTTTACTCTAACTTTTCCTATTTTTGACTTCAATCACTTTCCCTCTGTTTTTTTTTTTTTTTTTTCTACACATTTGATTGATGAAAATTGCAAATTGCATGATGATGGGTCATTTTGTCAAAAAAATTAAATTATATTCTCTAATCTTAATTTTGAAGCACAGTATTTGAAACGAGAAGGAAATTTTCTGGGCATTTTGCTCCCAGACTAGAAAAGCCAAGAAAATTTTGCCCTTTGTGTTTCGTTTTGCTCTATCTGCTCTGATACCACGGAAAACTATTATGCATCTCCAGCATACTCAAAATTTTACTTTAAAAAAAAAAGAATTTATTCTCAAAACAGAGAATAAGAGAAAGAGAAAGCAACATAAGAGAGAGACAGCAAAGAGAGATACCAAATCGGCCAGCGGAGAAGATGCGACGGCGACCGGCAATGCTAGCAGCGGTGGCGATGGTGATGGCGATCGGTGTGGTGGATGAGCAAGAAATGACTGTGAGACAAACGTTGAATACGATGAGATGACGAAGGGAGGGGTGGGTGGGTGTTAGGGTTTAATTTGAGAGTTGATTGTGCGTGTGAGAGTGTATGTAAGTAAATATTGGAACATGACAGTGTTGTGGGTGTATAAGCTTATGTTTGGCATAGGCTAGTTTGCTTATTTAGTCATAAAAAAATAAAATAAGTAATATTAATAAATAAAATAAGTAATATAAATTAATATGATAAATTGTCATATCTAAATTATAAAAAAAAAAAAATTTACAAAATTTAAAAAATTTATTCTAAACGAGATTTTTTACTCTCAGATTAAAATAATTAAAAAATCAAAAAATCAACCGACATTCCAAACGAAGGCTAGTAGATGTTTGGGATAACTTACAAAATCCAAAAAGTTAAAAAGTTATTAAAAAAATCAAAAAGTCTATACTATTTGGAGAAAGCTTGTGGGGGAAGCTTACAGGATAAAATTATTATTTTGTCCTTTGAATTTAAATACCCAATAGTCAAAAAGTTAAAAGTTCAAAAGTCAATAAAAGTAAAATGGTCATTTTAATTTTACTACAATATTTTATTATACATCTTTTCGTAAAAAGTTAAAAAGTTCTTCTAAACATACATCTTTTTTTTTCTTTATTTTTTTAGCCAAAAGTCAAAAAGTAGACTTAGGCCCCGTTTGGAGACTTACCTTTTTAGCCAAAAAGTCAAAAAGTTACCCTTTTAGCCAAAAAGTCAACAACTGATACCAAAAAGTCAAAGATTTTCTTTTCTCTCTATTTTTTGCACATTTTTTCGTAATTAACCAAAAAGTCATCCCAAACATATAAGTTTTTTTTACCTACTTTTTTAACCAAATAGCAAAAAAGTTACTAAATTAGTCTGTTCCCAAACGAGGCTTTATATAAATTATCCCAAACAACTCCAATTTTTTTTATTTTTTTTTATTTTTTATTTTTTTTTAAAAAAAAAAGAAGCTAGCAAACAAACAAAAAAACCATACAGATCGGGATGGTTATATTAGGCAGGTTGGATTCCTCCAACTGCCACCCGCACTGATCCGCAGGTTCAGGATACCCAACCCGCCAACCCACCTGCCAAAATTTTAAAAAAAAAAAAAAAAAAAAAAAGCGCGATTCAATTTGGTTTGATGCTGTTTAGTGGTATTGTACACAACCCTATTAGTATTAGTGAGAGCTTTACTTTTTTTTTCCAAACCCTTCTTCCCTTCTAAAAGCACTACAGGGTGGAAGAGGCAATAGAAACAAAGATGAATAAAATTCCACAATTTAGGGAGATTACTTTAGCCTATAGAGTCAGATTTGGTCAACATTGTAACATGATATATTAATGAGTTGAGTTTGAGATTTATACTTTTAAATCAACCTAACTTGGCTCAGCCCGCTATTAAATAAATATATATATATATATACAGACCAACAAACCTTGCATGCCATGTGTCCCTCTAGCCATGGCATTATGTGGTTGTTAATGTGTCATTTTAATCTAATTCTTGACATAAGTTAACTTCTGGGATAAATTGAAGAAAACTTGAAATATAAAAGATGAAAGTAAAAAAAATTAAGGGGCAAAGTGAAAAAAAAAATGTGAAACTCATATGAGGGCAAAGTGTAATTTATACTTTCAATAAACCATAAAGGTTTTGGGTACCAAAAATATAAAAGAGGTACATCTTCTCTGTCACGCTCCAAACTCGCCCCCAAAAGTTTGGGCATGACCTATGCAGATACGGACACATAACCTGATATATATAATATATGGGCCCTGAACGGAAGCATTTAATATTACAAAGTAACATAAAATAACATCCATTGAGCTAAAACTAACATGCCAGGATCACATACGTGAGAGCCATTTATCTATATACATACCCATACATATAAATGAGTCTATATCCGAACATTGGTAAAGAAAGGAGGTATATACATACATTTTAACCTTAAGTAAATAATTAAAGTGCAAGCCAAAATCTTAACAAAACTTCACATAAATGCATGGGCTTGGTCTGGGAGTCTGGGCATACTGAGGTTGACAATTGAAGGGTGAACATCAAGGGTTAAGACGGACTTCCACAGTAATTACCTACAGAACAGACATAACACAAAGTGAGCGAAGCTCAGTGAATAATAGTACATAAATGATTCAATGCTCAACTTGAAGTATAATACATATCAATGCATACATAGATAAAGAGGGCATAAGGTTAATTGGTTCTGCACTAATTTCATAACGGCTTTAGGCTCAGTCTTGAAACATAATGACTTAAAACATAATATCTTGAGACATAATGGCTTTAAGCCCTTGAACAGAGTGGCAATAGGCCCTTGAACATATTGGCATTAAGCCCTTGAACGTGTTGGCATTGAGCCCTTGAACTTGTATGTATGAACTTAAGAGGTGGCTCGCACGGATTCTAAAGATGACTCGCATTGCAGCACTTAGTTCCGTACAACACTTTGTTTCATACTAACAGATCTTACAGATCATACAAAATGGCCATAGGCCTCATAACTTTCACAGAACAGCTTTCAGCCTCATAACTTTCACATATGTATGGACTCAAGAGGTGGCTCATACGGATTCTAGAGGTAACTCGCACTGTAGCACTTAGTTCCGTACAGCACGTTGCTCCATACCAAAAATACATAATGGCCTCTGGCCTAATAGATCATATAGAATGGCCATAGGCCCAGATTGGCTTTAAGCCTAGTTCATATATGTATGGATTCAAGAGGTGTCTCACATGGACTCTAGAGGTGGCTCACAATGTAGCACTTAGTTCCAAGTAGCACTTTGTTCCATACCAGTAATTAATAGGTCTTACAGACCAAACCATACATTTCATGTCAAACCATAAACGGAAACAAATTCATACATATGCATTATACTTGAATCATAAACAAAATCAGAATTCATACTTGATTATACTTGGCACTTCGCTAGCGCTAACAAATCAATATAAAGCATTCTTGTTAGTTCCATAAAGGAATCCCCCGATACTGAGAACTTATAACATACGTGAACTTGTAACATACCTAAACTTGTGCATACTTGAACTTGTAACATATGTAAACTTGTAACATACGTAAACTTGTAACATCCTTGAACCACGGTATTATTACCCCCGGGTAAGGGCCGTGTGCTACAAATGTCATGAGTACTTTACATATATGGACAACTGTTCATTAAGTCAAAACGTAACATATCAGAACATAGAGCATTTCTTGTTATATCATGTCATTACAGTACACTTAACAAAGACAGAACAGTTTACATCATAACGTGAGTCACGTGACAAGGTCATTGATATTTAATTTTGTTTTCAGGTTGAGTCATCCGTAAATCAATCCGTTGTTTATCATAATGCTTAGTAGGTATTAACGTATAAAACAATCCGTGGTCTTAACTAATTATTCATTAAGAAATGGCGTAGTTCACTTGATCTATTAATAGCATATAGAAGCATACACCTTTGTTTGATCGTTCATATATGTTACCATAGTTGACTTGTACTTAACAAGGTACTAATGGTAGCCGTTACATCATTTACATGAGTTAACATAGATAAGTTTAACAGGACATTCCTGATAATTATTAATGAGAGATAAGCACATTTACAGATTGAATGATTTTAGAGATACGTGAATACCATGGTTCCATAGTGCTTATACGTTCCCTTTGTTCATCATCTATCACTATAGCTATCTTGCAAATAACAGAATGTTAGTCTTCTTTGTCAACAGTAATACTGCTCAATAATGCCTCTAGATTTTCCAATCAAGCACAATATCGATGGAATAGGCCATTCACAAACAACAATACATATATTATAATCATAGAAGTAAGTGAAACGTAACGTTACACTACTATTACTCACAGTGATCAGCTCCCGGTAGTAATAGGACGATGTCCTCGTCTCGACCTACAAGTACAGTGCACAACACATAATATGAGATTATACTCGATCCTTTACTTATTCTCTTTGATCGTTCAATCAATTAGCCATGGTGGTACCAAGCTCATTATTCCTTACTAAGTTATAATCCATGTCTCAGAAAACATGAGAAATCGGTGGAAAATGATTTAGGTGAAGAAATGGTACAAAACTGGTTGACAGAAAGTAAATAGTTGTCACTAATTTGAGCATAACTATTTCTGTATTTAGAATTTTGGAGTGAGACCACCACCATTGGAAACTAGACTTCTGGGGCTTGATTTTAGGCTCAAGAATCACTCAAAACGGAGTCCGGATGCAAAAGATATGCTTGTTCAAAGTTGGCTGGATAGAGCTGTCTCCGCACGTGCGGGGAAACAGTGCCGCACGTGCGGCCCTGGACAGTTTGCAGTTCGAAAATGGCTGAAAATTTGGGACTTCTCATTTGCAAAATCAAACCTTAATTACATGTAAATCAAAGCCCAAAACCCTTTAATATATGACCAATTTCACATTATTCTTCTCCATCAAACATCATAACCTCAAAATAAACAAATATAATGACTTTAATTCTTCAATCAAGAAATTCTTAGGAAATCAAGATTCAATCAAATATATACATAGAACCCTAACTCAAATGGGTTCAAAGCTTCCCTTATTATCATGATTTCATAAAATTGATGCCTCAAACATAAGGATTCAAGATGATTTATCTTACCTTAGTTCACTCTTTGACTTCCTTATGGTTCTCTTTAATTTCTCCAAGCTTCCATGGTTACTCTCCTTCTTCTCTCCAATTTCTTCAAGTCATCTTCAAGCTCTCAACAATGGTGAACCCTCTCTCTCACTCTCTCTTGGCCTCTCTTTCTCACGGGTCTTCTTATCTTCTTAGATATTTTTTTGCTCCAAAAGATGAGTCCTATTCATATATATCATATACACCCATATAATTAACTATATAAGCTTTATCACAAATAAGGAGGGCCAAACATGCCCTTACAAATCGCAAAAAATTAAATTTCAATTAAACCTTCCAAATGACTCTAAAAATTATGATGATTATAAATATGTCCCATGTTCTGGTTTCTGAAGCCTCTA